TACCTTCATCATATAAATTGTTGTAATTTAATTTGGTTTCTTTGTTTTTTTTTGTAGAAATATTTTACAGATAATACTAGCATGTTTCTTTGTTTTCACCTAAGTCAAAATAAGCGGACTTAATGTATTATTTCCCTGCTTCATTCCTGCCTAATTCACTCATGCTTAATTTATATGACTAATAGCCTAACAAAAGTTTATTAATGCTTGGAGAAGCCTTTTTACTGTTAATTGTTTTATACTGTTTTGGATAAAATCAAACTGTCGTAATCTGTTGTTTATTTTGCGTTTTCTACTTGACTTTAAAACCCATATTTTATGTGTCGTTCTTTTATTGTGTCAATTGTAATAAGATTTAAAATAAATTTGTTATTGTTTCCATGATTAATATATATTTTTGTTTTGTTCCATTCAACAGATATCACTCGACAGAAGGCATTACGTCCTTATCGTGTTCAAATTAATAACAGTTACGAGTCAGTGCTAAATCAACGTGTAGAACCTGACCTAATATTAACCTTTAACCCTTCCAAATAAAAACTTTCAGATTTGTTTTCCACCAGTTCTTCTACAGTTCAGACTACGATGCAAAGCTTGCACCCTAATGTACCTGTCGCGGTTCCTTTCCCATTTTTTCCGTACCCTTTCCTTGCAATGATCGACCATGCCACTCTAGGGGGAGAGTCCCCCTTCGTTTTGACAGAAACTAACCTTAGCCCAGGAAAAAACGGAGAAATAACTAAAAAGTCTGACAAGAAACCAGCAAGAAGGCCCATGTCCTCTTACAATTTGACTCCTGTTTCTAAAAGGAAACCCAAGTTTGACTTTTCCAGGCTGGCTGAATCTGCCACGTCTAAAGACGATGACCTCGACTGTTATGCTTCTAAGCCCATGGGTCTTCAAACAGACGAAACGTCTGCCATCATTACTAGCCATACCTTTCCTCTAGTGATGCCCTACTACACTGATCCAGACCCTGGTCAAAGCAGATGTTCTTCACGACCCAAGAAGGACTTCATCTGTAAATATTGTGAACGAAGGTTCACCAAGTCTTATAACCTGTTGATTCATGAACGAACCCATACTGATGAACGACCATACTCCTGTGATGTCTGTCATAAAGCTTTCAGAAGACAGGACCACCTCAGAGACCACAGGTACGGGAGCCATCTTTTTATAGATTCATTCAAAAAAAGTTGATTAAAGATAATTTATCTATTGAATATCTTTTATGTCTGTGGTAAACATTTAAAAACCATGTTTATCCTATAGTGTTACCATTTCATGTCTGTGGTAAACATTTAAAAACCATGTTTATCCTATAGTGTTACCATTTCATGTCTGTGGTAAACATTTAAAACCATGTTTATTCTATAGTATTACCATTTTATGTCTGTGGTAAACATTTAAAACCATGTTTATCCTATAGTGTTACCATTTCATGTCTGTGGTAAACATTTAAAAACCATGTTTATCTTATAGTGTTACCATTTCATGTCTGTGGTAAACATTTAAAACCATGTTTATCCTATAGTACTACCATTTTATGTCTGTGGTAAACATTTAAAACCATGTTTATCCTATAGTATTACCATTTTATGTCTGTGGTAAACATTTAAAACCCTGTTTATCCTATAGTATTACCATTTCATGTCTGTGGTAAACATTTAAAACCATGTTTATCCTATAGTACTACCATTTTATGTCTGTGGTAAACATTTAAAACCATGTACTAGCAGTCCCACAACTACTTGTACTAGCAGTCCCACATCCACTTGTACTAGCAGTCCCACATCCACTTGTACTAGCAGTCCCACATCTAC